CGTTTCGGCTCCTGGCTGGATTGTGCTCTCTTGTAGTACAATTTTAGTACTGGAAATGCCTCGTTTCGGCTCGTGGCTGGATTGTGCTCTCTTGTAGTACAACTTTAGTACTGGAAATGCCTCGTTTCGGCTCCTGGCTGGATTGTGCTCTCTTGTAGTGCAACTTTAGTACTGGATTTGCCTCGTTTCGGCTCCTGGCTGGATTGTGCTCTCTTGTAGTACAACTTTAGTACTGGAAATGCCTCGTTTCGGCTCCTGGCTGGATTGTGCTCGCTTGTAGTACAACTTTGGTACTGGAAATGCCTCGTTTCGGCTCCTGGCTGGATTGTGCTCGCTTGTAGTTCAACTTTAGTACTGGATTTGCCTCGTTTCGGCTCCTGGCTGGATTGTGCTCGCTTGTAGTACAACTTTAGTACTGGAAATGCCTCGTTTCGGCTCCTGGCTGGATTGTGCTCGCTTGTAGTACAACTTTAGTACTGGATTTGCCTCGTTTCGGCTCCTGGCTGGATTGTGCTCGCTTGTAGTACAACTTTAGTACTGGAAATGCCTCGTTTCGGCTCCTGGCTGGATTGTGCTCGCTTGTAGTACAACTTTAGTACTGGATTTGCCTCGTTTCGGCTCCTGGCTGGATTGTGCTCTGTCGTAGTACAAGTTTAGTACTGGAAATGCCTCGTTTCGGCTCCTGGCTGGATTGTGCTTTCTTGTAGTACAACTTTAGTACTGGAAATGCCTCGTTTCGGCTCCTGGCTGGATTGTGCTCTTTTGTAGTACAAGTTTAGTCCCGGAAATGCCTCGTTTCGGCTCCTGGCTGGATTGTGCTCTCTTGTAGTACGACTTTAGTACTGGAAATGCCTCCTTTCGGCTCCTGGCTGGATTGTGCTCTCTTGTAGTACGACTTTAGTACTGGAAATGCCTCGTTTCGGCTCCTGGCTGGATTGTGCTCTCTTGTAGTACAACTTTAGTACTGGAAAGGCCTTTCGGCTCCTGGCGGGATTGTGCTCTCTTGTAGTACAACTTTAGTACTGGAAATGCCTCGTTTCGGCTCCTGGCTGGATTGTGCTCTCTTGTAGTACAACTTTAGTACTGGAAATGCTTCGTTTCGGCTCCTGGCTGGATTGCGCTCTCTTGTAGTACAGCTCTAGTACTGCAAATGCCTCGTTTCGGCTCCTGGCTGGATTGTGCTCTCTTGTAGTACAGTTAGTACTGGAAATGCCTCGTTTCCGGCTTCCTGGCTGGATGTGCCTCATGTAGTAACAACTTTAGTACTGGAAATGCCTCGTTTGGCTTCCTGGCTGGTTGTCTCTCTGTAGTACAACTTATCTTGGATTTGCCGTCGTTTCGGCTCCTGGCTGGATTGTGCCTCTTTTAGTACAACTTTACCGGTACTGCAATAGCCTCGTTCGGCTCTCCTGCGGATTGTGCCGCTTGTATTACAACTTTAGCACTGAATGCCTCGGTTTCGCTCCTGCTGGATTGTGCTCGTCTTGATACAACTTTAGTACTGGAAATGCCTCGTTCGGCTCCTGGCTGGATTGTCTCGCTTGTAGTACCAACGTTAGTACTGCAATGCCCTCGTTTCGCCTCGTTTCGGCTCCTTGCGGATTGTGGCTGCCGCTTTGGTAGTAAACAACTTTAGTACTGAAAGTCCGCGTTTCGGCTCCTGGCTGTATTTTTGTGCTCGCTTGTAGTACAACTTTAGTACTGGATTTGCCTCGTTTCGGCTCCTGGCTGGATTGTGCTCGCTTGTAGTACAACTTTAGTACTGGAAATGCCTCGTTTCGGCTCCTGGCTGGATTGTGGTCGCTTGTTGTGCAAAATGACGTTATCGTTTTTTTTCCTCCTTATCGTTTTACAAGTCAAACGCATCATCGCGAACACCGCGGGCAAGTGCTTACATAAATCGACCACGCGGGGTGTTTATGCAAACCCAACACACACACACACCCACACCCACACACACACACACCCACACCCACACCCACGCCCACGCACACGCACACCCACCCACCCACCCACCCACACACACACACACACACACACACACACACACACACACACACACACACACACACACACACACACACACACACCCACCCCCACACCCACGCACACACACACACACACCGACACACCCACACCCACGCACACACACACACACACACACACAGACACACACACGCACAGACAGACACCGACACACACACAGAC